CTGAGAGCTGCGGGTGCTGCCCGAGCCCGGATTCGGCCCGGGCCGGGCAGCCGCGGGGAGCAGGGGCGGCGGCGGGCTCCTACCTTTCCTGCTTTTCGGGGAGCTCCGCTTGCTCCGGGCGCTGGCTCGCTCTTCCTCAATCGCAGCTGCTATCTCGGGGTTGTCTTCCCCATTGTACCAGACCAGGAGCTCCTCGCCCGGCGCGATTGGCTGCGGGGAGAGAAGAGACAGGCGCCGGGCCAATCAGAGCGACGGTTGTTGGTGGGGCGGGGCGGGGCAGGCGGGCGGCGCTCCCAGCCGGGCCGCCCGAGGCCAGCCCGGCAGGAAGAGCTCCTCCGCCTCGGCGGCCGCGGGCCGGACGACGCGGGAAGGGACCCTCTGCTGGAGGGAGGACCTCACTTCCCAGCCGCCTCCTCCCCGGAGTCCGTCCGGTGGATGTCGGGATCTGATAGGATCGCTTTAAACTTAAAACTGCCATATGTTCCGGAATCTTACTGTTGGAAGCCTCACAACTATCCACGCAGAAGGAAAAATATGCCACGGAACCACAATGTCCACGAAACCTAAGCTGATGAGAAAACTAAAGCATAATTTAAAACACCCTGGCAGTTTGGAAGACGTGATGAAAGCTAATTATCAGCGCAGGTTTCAGAGTCCAAGAGCAAGTTAAGCATGATAAGACCTACATGCCAGTGCACATTTATAATGCACCGCTAATTATATCACGGAAATGCTAAAAGAAGAAGCGGTGCTGAGGACGCGAGCGTCCTGGCAGTGTATTGTCTCTGCACTGCTGCCAACCTGCTCCGGTCCTTGGAGAATTCACTGCCTTGCCCTCTGTACTACACCTCGAGTCTACAAGACAACTTTTAAATTTAGAAAGAAATGCCTAAAAATACCTCACGTGTCATGCTTCTAAAACATGAATTCTTAACAGTCATGCACCCCACCACCATGCTGATTATACCTAGAGAACAAGATCGTGAAGAAAAAATATACTGAGTGGAAAGATTACACTCCTAAGTAACATTGAAGGAAATGGCTTATTGGTTTCTCTCACAATGACTCATCTGTTCAAAAAGTTCCAAGAGTATGAACACAAGTAAAATTCCACCTAAAACCCAGTGAATAAAATAAAAATCCATGAGTCCATACTGATATGAATGAATGAAGAAATGAATGAATGAACGGACAAGTAAATAAATAAGGAGAGCTCTTCCTATAGAAGATCCCAACTAATCAATGAAAAAGAAATAATGGAATTAGAAAATCACAACTGGACAATCATCACAGATTAATAATTGATTCAGGCAAGCATCACCAATGGATGCTAAAACTAGTAGATTAAAGTTTGAGGAATAACAAAATATTTGCATGGTCTCAGAATATCTCCCCATAAAACATTTATTAGTGACAAAGAGAAAAACAGTACCTTTATAAGACAAGTCAACATCATATGCCTCCCGATATGATGCACAGAAAAGAACACAGCATCACTTCTGGAGATGAAGTGAAGCATCACTTCTGCTGAAAATGCATAAATGTAATTCAATCATGATGAAACTTAAGAGAAGGCCAAACTGTGGGACATTCTACAAAAATTACTGATCAGTTCTCTCAAAACTGAAATGTTATAAAAGACAAAGACTGAGGTGCTATACAAACTGAGGAGACTGATGAGACATCACAACTGAATTCAATGGAGTTTTCTTTGCCTAAAAGGACATGATTGGAACTGACAAAATTTGAATAAAGTGTATAGATTAGCTTATAAAACACTGTGCCAGTGTGAGCTTCTTGATTTTGATCACTGCACTATAGTTATGGAAGAGGATACCCTCGTTTTAGGGGCAGGAGGAATTCCATCTAAGATGTCCATTTAGAAACAACATAGTTCTTCACTTCAACATACTTTCTAGTCTAGATAAAGTCTTTGAAAGTAAATATTATTTTGTTTCATTCTCTGCAGAACTCAATGTTTTTATAGTCCAAATTTTAAAATATTCTAAATTCTTTAAGATAAAAGAACAAGCCACTGTTTACTTTGTTCCTCCAAGGATGGCTAAAACCTGCCATTTTTTTTAATCTTTAAACCAATGTATTATTTCCCTTCTTGAATCAGTTACACCTAAAACAAAAAAACTTAATCTAATGTATAAAACCTTAATGAGTTAAAATAGCCATTACAGATGCCTTTTGGCACTCTTATGAGCTAACCTGTTTTTGTTGAAGGAATGAGCTTCTTTATTTAAGTAAACTATTTCTAGCTCCCAGTGTATATATAGTATGCTGCTTCTCTATGTTTTTGTTACAAGTCACATATTTATGAAATGGTAGTATCATATAATACTTGAAATGATTAGGGTCTGCAAAGATATGTAAAGTCTTAAATAAAACAAAAGTAAAAAAGAACATGGAAAGGAGTGAAGGAAAATAGAGTCCCCATTTCTTCCTAAACCAAACAGCATAACCAAAACACTGGCTAGAAGAACCTACTGGACATCTTCGAGATTCCTCCCCGACTCAGCCTAAGCGTCTACGTTCATTCCACTCCAACCTTGTGCAGAGGACTAACTGTACTAGCAACTGGGTGAAGTTAAATATCAGCACAAACTCTCTACTTAGGAGGGTCCAATTTTGTTGTTGCAAAAACCCCAAAACACCCCAGTATCTGTTTTTACCTCAAATCTAATATACAATTTCTAAATGGTTGTTAATGAAATGAACAGCTAGATTAAAAGCAACCTGATTTGTTAGCTACTGAACAACCTTCAAAACTGTTAGCAACTGAGATGATCATGGCATTATTGAGCTATGTACTTCCCAACTTTCTATTAAAACAGCTACACAAATAACAGGGCTTTATGAAGAGGAAAATAACACATCTTTTAAAACCAACAATTGCTTGCTTCTTCTGTACTGTAGTTTTTTCTTCTGCACTGCTTAGCGCATTTAAGATTTTGTAAGTCAAATTTCAGAAGAAAAGAAAATTTATGTCCTGAAACGCAGGAAATATAAACCCACATTTAAAAAAATAAAGTCAAAAGTCCAAACAACCTTTTTTTAAATATATTTTGATATTTAACAAAAAACAAGAGGAAGACTTTAAACTCTTCCTTTGGGTTCTGACAGGCTTATAAAATGAAGCACTCTCTCTTCTCTAAATATCAGTAAATATAAACTTGAAATTTTACCAGACCAATTAGGTACAGGCAAGGGTTGTCATAAATATTCCTGACACTAGGTCAAATTAAGAGGAATACTCCAGAATTATGAGAACACATAAAGCATTCCACACTTACCCACCTACCATCTATCCCCCAGCATGATCTTTTAAAAGTCACGGGTCAGACAGCTTCAATTCTCAAATGGGTGAACTGAAGACTAAAACTCATACGTTCCCCTACAGGCCAGTAGGCCCCCCGATCTGGCCCCTGCCCACCTTACCAGCCCCATTCACCACCTCTCCTTGCTCTAGCCAAACCAGCCTTTGTTCTATTCCTTTAAAAAAAAAGAAAAGAAAAAAACAAACAAACCCCCCCCCCCAAAATCTAGCTTATTCCCACTTCAATACCTTTGCTTCTACCAGCGCCCCTCTTCCTGAACTGCTCTTCCAGCAGAGATCTTCGAGTGGCTGGCTCCTTCCCATGCCAGTGGGGGAGGGGAAGAGGTGTCCCCATGTCTGGTCTTCCCTGACCTACCAGAGCTAAAGCAGCCCTCCCCCTACCTAGACAATCTATCACATTTTATTGTCTTCAGTGCACTTTTCACTATCTGAAATTATTTTGTTTACTTGTTCACTTGTTTATTATCTGCCACTTGCCCCATAAACTGGAAGCTCCATGAGACCAGAGACCTTGTCTGTTCTGTTCACTACTATAGGAGAATACCTGGTACACAGTAGACACTCAGTATTTGCTGAACTAATAAATAGATGAATGAATGGAGGGCAAGCTAACAATTAACCTTCAGGAATTTAAAACAGTTTTTAACCATATTACAAACAAAACCAGGTGATGACCTAGATTATAGGTGAGAAGGTGATACAGAACATCACATGTAATTTATTTACAAAACCTAACCCCCAGAAAGCTTAATCTAGAAGAATATAATCACAAGTAAGGAATCTGAAAGGCCTTATGCATACCTGAGCAAACATCAAAGGTCAGGATTGGGGGAGGTCTGCAAAGATCAGAGCTATGTTACTTCCAACAAAGAAAGGTAAAAATAATAGTAGTAGTACAGCTAGTTAACACTTTGAGTACTTAGGTTAGACTAGGAACTCTTCACAGAATCTTACACATATTGGTTTGTTTAATTTTCACAACTGTATTATTAATTTTTACTATTACCTCCATTTTTACAGATGAGAAAACTAAGACAGTGGGTGTAAGTAACTTCTCATGGTCACACATCTCAAAGCCAAAATTTGCTCACAAGGCAGTCTGCTCCAGAGCCCCCAATCCCAACCATGACACTACACTGCCTTGCCAAAAATAACAGCTATCATTTATGTAGCACTTATTAGGTGCTAGAAATCTACCCACAATCACCCATGATAACCATATGAGGTCGACACTATAATTATCTGTATCTCACAAATAAGGAAACTGAGGCACAGGAAAGTGACTTACCTAAAGTTACACAGCTAGTAAAATCACAATGACTTGCCCTGGGTCACACAGCAAGCCAGGATTTAATCCAGGAGTCTGGCTCCAGAGTTCACTCCCAAACACTATTCTCTCTTGCTTCTCAACGGTTCTCAGCTTTGCTATCAGAGATGAACACAGCTTAACTTGAGGTCTGATGAAAGAACTGCCAAGTGCCCCGGTATCTCCCTGGGCTTACTCTGCCCTGGAACCTCATTCCTACTCCTTCAGTTGCCTCATATGCATCCCCTCACTGGTATTTCATCTCCACCAGAATTCTGCCTCACTGATTCAACCAGATGTAACTCTCACTTTAAATGAATTTGAGAACAGAATGAATTATTGAATCCAATTTTGAATCCAATTCCAAACCCCAGTGTAACAAAACTGTACAGTAATGCCTACCAGAAAATCATGCTATTACAATCCAGCGGAAGAAGGTTATAGAAGTTTTAAACGAGGAAGTACCACAAAAAAAAAAATATTTCCTACAGGAATTGAAAGCAAGGACGTGGGTTTATATGAGGTAAAGGGCAATCCAACTGCCTACGTATGACAGGGAAAAATACAAAGGAAAGTTAAACAGCTGTAAGCTAACTTCCAAAAGTCCTAGTGCTACACACAGGCAAAACTCAGCATGCTACAAAGCTGACCATCATCTTAAATGTTTGTTCATCAAGAGTTTTCACCTACATGGAGATAATTTTTTTCATGGACTATCCCCCAGTCTATGACAGTTTTAATGGAAGTAAGTGAATAAGGAAAAATCTGCCTTACAGCAACTTTAGCAAACATACCTAGTCCAAAAAGCAAAAAGCAACAATCATCTATCTTTAGAGCCTCCCCTGCAGGATGAGTGCAGATTTGCCTTCCAGGAGAACATGAAAACGAGGGAGACAGATGTGGGCTTGCTTGTTGCAGATATAACAACGCTTCCTAATTCTAATTTCCCTGAATGTACTCAGTGACCTCTGACCTCACCACAAACTCTAAAAAATGATTTTCCTCTTCTTTACATTACTTGTTGATTCTCCTCAACAATTAATGTCTCCAAATAAAAATTTGGCAGAAGTAAGAAGCATGTTCTGTGTAATTTCCATTCTGAATAAAATTTAGGGAAAAGAAAAGCTAATCCAAAGCTACACTATACTGAAGACGAAGAATGTGTTTTCAGTTAACACAGAACCGCCAGAGCTACTGAGAGTTTCTCACAGTTAGATAAATTGGCCAGTCAGACAGTTCCCAATGCATCTGTACCTTAAGAGGAGGTAAGTAGCTGCCACATGCTTAACTCATCAGTATCTATAAAGATGCCGTATGTAATTACTTAACACGATCTTCCTGCTTTAGTGCCCTTCCTCACACGAAGCAGTGGCAACTGTATATTTAAAACACAGACCTTTCACTGTGTTGATGAACCACTTTCAAATAGAACCCTTTCAAGGTCTTCAAAGTCACTCCCGACGGTCACGACTGAGGACAGCGTTTGCAGAAACGCATGCAGAGTAACTACCGGCAGGCTAATTCTAACACTCTTACCTTTAAAGTTTTATAGTAAATGGCCCTGTTGATTTCCAGTGGAAATAAATTTTGCTCTTCTCCTGAGCAAGCCCAATTCACATAGCGCAGCCAGTTCCCCTTCTCTGGATCGGTGGCATCAATGCACATCCACCCCAAATTTGGGTAATAGACCTTGGGAGGGGGAAAAACACATTTTGTTAAAATAAAATATCATTTAAAGGTTTCCATTTGCAACTTCTAAGACAGTTCTTGCTCATTATATGCAAATACTCTGTAAAGCATTTCACGGAAACAAAATAAATAAGCAACAGAGAAAAGGAAAATAAAGATGAAAACTGAGATCCAAAATTGTATAATCCTCATTAGTTATTTTTCTATTTGGGTATAATTTTTTTTCTCCTAAACTTCAAGTGCTGTAAGGAAATGTGCTTGATGATCTCCAAATGCTTCGCAAATACGTACACAAAGACAAGTGACAGCTCTACTCCCTCCAGGGTAACAGAGGAAGAGCCCACAGCGGTGCTCCACAGCACCCGGATGCCCTGAGGTTTCTGCGCTGTTCTGCAAGTCGAGTGTGGAGGCCCAGTCCTGCTGGAGTTCACAGCTCAGCAGGTGCCTTTACTGCAGGGCTGACAGAAACTTCAGTAAGTGAACATGTGGTGTGAACCTCCATGTGGGTGACAGGGTATGATGCTTTTGCAAACTCCACTGACCTTAAAACCTTCTCTATCCAGAGCAGGGAATATCGGTGTCCTTCCGAAACAAGACCAAAAACCTGACCCCTCTTTGAGGGGTCAGATCAACTCTACTCTTGCAAGAAGCTTCCCCTGATCATCCTCTCTCAGTGAATTCCTCCTGCCAGATGCTTCCAGCATTCATTCCTTCATCTTAAAGACAATCTACTGAGCAGCTATTGTTAACTTTCTTTTGTATATACATACATACATTTATCTAGGTTTTACTTCCCCGAAATTAGACTGTAAAACACTTGATTAGGCACTGAAATAGAACTGCAGAAACAGTTGGTGACAGTCCTGTCAAAAACAAAGCAAAAGGAATGAGTCTTTTACTTTCGCTTTTGGAAGAAAGGAGAGAATCTTGATGCTTCTGTTTCTTCCCTACA